ACATAAACCAAACCTATACACATGTAAATTTAAATGATTTGAAAATAATTTGGCTTAGACAAATTTAATTTTCATACTTTTAGAATAAGCAAAACAACTAACAAATTACTGGATTTATTAAATATAAATTTTTAAGTACATTTTTCCCTATACTAGTTGTCAGTTCCAAAGACAAGTTTTCCTTTAGTTGATTACAAACGTTGAACACTTCATATTCAATTGATCCATTTTGATTTTTTAAAAATATGTCAAGTTTGGTGTGAAACTTGGTCTTAATCACATCTGTTTGAAGTACAAAGGGCATTGTAATTACAAATGTTATAGTTTCTAAATATATGGACCTTAAATTAAAGAAACTCCTAATATATATTTAAATAAACAACAAAACTGTGACAAGTCACTTACTTATCAACTTGGTCTCTTAACATATACAGAATGTCTTGTGCTTCTTTCTCCAGCTGGCTGTACGTTCCATCTTTGGTCAAACTGGCAGAAAATGGTCTAAAACACTGCTGGACAAACTCGCTAGTGGATAAATAAAGAAAAAACATTTGCAGTGCAAAAAGTTTTACAAGCTCAAATAAATCCAAACTGACTGATCACGCTAGAACTTTAAAGCAATAGTACTGCTTACATAAGTATAAACCAGACAAAAATACTGGTGTACCCTTAATGGATTACACCGACCACTTGACCCTAAAGCAACCATCAGTTTCCATACTGTAGCTTTTAACACGTTTTGTGTATCTTCATGAATTTTTTCAAGCTTTTAGTAAACGTTACAAGTTTTTTTGTAGATATACTAAAAAAAAAAAAATCAGTATTTTTACTAAAATTTGTCTGTAAATATATATGTATTGTCGTAGTGTTTACTGTTCCGAGTGCAAAGTGGTTTTCACGTTATGATTAAAAATACTTTTCATCTGAAAAATTTCAAATTTCATTTGTGTAATCTTTAAAACCTCCTAAATAAATATCAAACATTTTTTCCAGAAAACTTTATATCTACCCTCGGTCATTTTGACCGACGTTGTAACTAACACAGAAAGGTTGAAAGTGAGTAGTACTGTTCTATCGTTTTTCGTATTGATCACGAAGTTCCAAGATACTTCTCGTGAGAATTTCAACTTCTATCCTTCTCTCATCTATTTCCTATGTTACTGTTAACAGCTAAAGTAGAAACCTGCTAAACATAAAACAATGAATCACCACTCCTGCCATTAGAATCTTTATGTGATTCCATAACACACCATTATCGGCAGACATTTTGTTCTACCCTTATCTTGTATCATACCATACAAGAACAAATACTATACATATATGGATTATTTTGATTTTACCATATTAATATATATACATAAATAAATAAAAATTACCATATTATTATACTAATGTGTTTTGTTGAAAACAAACACAAGTTTAGTGTAAGTAGCATTCACAAGTAATAATTACATGCACATGAAATATTGAGAGAAAATTGTACGAGATACAAGTATTAAAGGAATTTTACCCCTTTATCATGTCAAAATGAGCTGCACCAGATTACTTTCATGTGTTGTAGTTTACATTATGATTGGTCATTTACCACCCCTCCACAAAGTACAGAATTTAACTTATTTAACTCATTATAATACAGTTATTACTAAGGCAAATCAATTTTTATAGCCTTCAATCTTATTTGTTTACAGAGTCATAAACTAGAAAATCAGACCCACTTGTCACACCATCTCTTTCACAACTTTCTGATAGTTCTCTCGAACATTATTTATAACAAACAGAAAGCCAAAGTTTTAATCTATCAAATGATATTATCTTACATTGTTTTCTGTACAGAGCATTGTCTATTTCATTGTTCACTTTGAAACTTTTTCTAATAGTATTCACATCGACGAGCTTAGCTGAATTTTTAAAGGCTCTTATCACATAATTAGAAAGCCAGATAAAGTATAATAGTTATAGGATATTGTTTGCTTTGTTCGTGTTAATTTCCTGTGTTCTAAGGTGCATTACTTAATTAACAAATTATAATAGTAACAAAAATGTAAAAATTAGAAACTTATTAGGTTATATAAAGAAAAATAATACTAAAAATTCTTCATTAGGTATGTTTGCAAGTTCGACATGGTAACGTGAGCTACATGTTCACCGAGTGATTTACAACTTGCGTGGTAGGATTATTAGTTAGACATGGTTCAAAGGGCAATAAAAGAATAAATTTTAAGTACAAACGTGTAGTTTCAGGTTATAAGTTTGAGTCATTCTAGGAAGAAAAAAGGATAATTTAGATGTATTTCGTTGTTTTTTTTTAATGGTGTTTACGAGGTTGGTCAAATCGACCAAATGCATAGAGTTAGGGTAGAGAAAATAACAAATAAGATACAGTTTTACTGAAAGCAAAGTTTGAAATTTATTTAGGAGGTTTTAGAGATTACGCAAATGAAATTGGACAAATTTCTTATGAATAAAAGTATTTTTCACATTAGCACGAAAATCACTTTGCACCCGGAGCAGTCAACACTTTGACTTCATATATATTCATGAAGAAATTTTTACTAAAAATACTTCATTAAAAATCCTAATATTATGTCTACAAGAGAATAGTAATGTTTACTGAAAGCTTTCAAAATGTCATGAAGATACACAAAACATGAGGAAAGAGTTAATGTGTGTTATACAAGGTAAACATGTTACACAACATCTGTTTAAACAATACATACTATTATTCAGTAAGAACAATGTAAACATGTTACACATCTGTTTAAACAATACATACTATTATTCAGTAAGAACAAGATAAACATGTTACACAACATCT